ATCTTAATTTATTAAAATATTTTATTCAGTATAATGTTATTAAAGATTTACATAATTTTAAATAAGCGTACACGTATACATTATACTGTCAACTTAAATTTTATATCTTGAAGTAAATAATTAGTAGCAGACCTAAATGTGAATGCCTCATTTCGATTTGTTAAAGAGACTCATTTTCGGACTAAAATAATGAGATTGTTCATGACTTTAACTGAAATATAATTTAGATGAATTAATTTCATTGTTTTTATTGCCTCTAAGCCTTATTTCTGAGAACATGTTTAGAGCGCAGCTTTAGCTGTGAAGCTGCTGATTTTGGAAATTAATGGTTTTGTACTGTATAAAAATAAAATTGCTTTGATCAGTTAAATGAGCAATCATTGTTTCGCATTTAAACTTTAATTTTGATTGTTATTTATTTATATATAGATAAAGTATTCTGTCGTATGTATTTATCTAATGATATTAAAATAAAACTGAGCATGAATAGTATTTCACCCATTATTTTTAAAATAATTAATTATAAGCATTACATATTCTAAAAGATAGCGAGTGTATATTTAAAACGAATAATTTTAAAACAATTCTCTCTCACTTGTCGACCGCAAAGAAAAATATGAAAGGAAAAACAAATGCCATCATTTGTTTAAAATTTCACCTGCCATCAGTACTTCCCAACCATTTAGATTTCGAGCTCATGCTTCTAAAACTCATTTTAACGGCTTCTAATAGCAGATTTCACCTATGACCGAAAAGTTTCATCTGCGGAGTATGAGACTATGAAATTTTTCAACTGTTTCCAACTAACCTCTATAAATCTTTCAAATTCTCTGACAGTCGTGGGAAACCCTTACTCTAAAATCAGGTGCAGTGCAGGTGCTTGAAGTAACTTTCTGAAGTCTAGATTAGTATCTGATGCTGTACTTCGGCTTTCAGGTTTATAGCTGCGGAATAGAGTAGCCGAATAATACTTTTTATTCTGTATCAGTTTTTAAAAAGCGTTCAGTAATGAGATAGGTAAAGAAAGTTTTCTGAAATTAATTTTAGGTGTGTGTTAAATTTATAATTTTAATATCTAAGATTAAATGCATACTTTTTTACCTTTTAATTACAGTTTTATCTTACTGAGAATGTTTTAAAATGCTAATATCACAGACATTTAATTTTTATTTAATTTTTATAGAAAACAAAAGAATGGGTGTACTCCAACTGCGCTAATGAAACCCCCCCCGGGTCGAGCTATAGTCCAACTGCACCAATCAAAATTTCTTCCCCCTGTTGCCTACAGGGTTACAATTTAACTTTTCGAAGCCCATTGTAGCCAAGAGGAAAATAAAAATAAATAAATAGAATTACATATCACAAGAACAAGTAAAAAATATCTAACAAGCAGGCTAATTACTCGAATAACAGTAATAAATGCGAGAGCTAACAAAGAAAATAAAAGGTATTGGTAAACATACATATTAGCATTGCAAACATCTTTCATTTATTATAATAATTTCATAAATTAAATAATTATAAAGCATACAAATTATATTTTTAATAAATTACATCAATAATAGTCAAGATGTCTGAAGTAGACTGGAAAATTTAATAGAGTTTACAAGCGTGCAAAAAAAAATTATTCCATATCAAAGTGTGTTAAAGTGTGCTAAAAATATTTTTTGTTAATTAAAGTAATGATGTAAATGTTTGCAGAAATTAAGTTTAGTTAAATTTAAAAAAAGCTTAGCATGAAATCTATTATAAAAACATTACTATGCATTTGGAATACTGACGTATAAATTGTAAATAAATTTAAATTATTATGCTAAGAAGTTTTTTTCTAAAATTTATCTAGAATAAAGGAATTAGATAAAAAAAATACTGCAAATTAATATAATCAATCAGGCCTCTCAAAAAATAAAAGTTTATTTTTTTAATCAAGAATTAAAAATTGGGATGCAAAAGTTTGAGTAATATACTTAAAAATATCTGAACATATAATTAGTTAGAAACATACAATTAAATTAATAACAAGCTAATTAACAGCAACATTAAGCTTAATTTCATTCAATCTAAAACAAGCAATCGATCAGGAGCTCCGTATAACTGAAGTTTTAATGCTATTTTACGTAGATTTGCGTATAAAATAAAAATTGCACTTGTGAAACAAGTGAATAATGTACTGATAGTCAACAGGAATTAAAATACAGTGGTTAAAAATATAATTACTTGTCAGAAATGCAAAGTTGCCATGGCTAGAGAAATTGAATAATTATAGAAAACTCATAAAGTTAAGCGCTACAGTGTGAAAAGAAAATTCTGCAATAAACATGTTAAGAAAATTAGATGGAGAAATAATCCTTAATTTATTGATATCCATATAAACTCTATGCTTTTGAAAAAATGTTACATATAATTTGCACCTAGGTATCAATCACCGAAACCGAGTTAATTTCTTTCCTTATTTTTTCTTATTAGAAAGATTTGTAAAAAGATATGCTAAGGTAAAGGTGAAAACTTTTGCAATATTTTTTTAAAAAAATAAATTAAAAATGTATTTTTACTTCATGAACTGAAATTTTTACACATAACATAATAAAAAAAACAAAAAAAAAAAAAAAAAAAAGAAAAAAAAGAAAAAAAAAAAAAAAAAAAAAATAGCTGGGGATCACTGGGACTAGAAACTCGGGTCGAACTACCAATGTTTAGTGACTTTTCCGCTTGATCATAAGACCTTTTGAAATTAGGCTGAACATATATTAAAGAAAATAGAAGATACAGCACACGTAAGAACAAAAGTGGGCTGAATTAGAGATTTACATGTTTAATGAATGAGTTAAAATTACCTGTATGCCATTATGAAATATTAGGAATGTAGCATAAAAACATGAGGGAAGAAGGCAATGGCAATATAAATCATTGTAATCTAAATGTATAACATTATCAGTATCTGCTATTAATTTCAATACTGCTGAAAAAATTATAAATGAATTATGTTATAAATCACACAAACTCGTTGCATTATAAATTACAACAGTTAGAAATATTATTAGCGTGGTTTAGCGACCATCTTTGTTAACAAATAATTTCAAGTAATTAATTTTACAAATAATTCAGCCTGAAACTAGGTTAGAAAATAAGCTGCATGCTGAAGATTAAGCTTTACCAAGGTGTTAGAAATATCTTTTCTTAACTAGAGTTATGATGCAAGAATTCGTAAAAATTATCATTTAAATATAAATTGGCATAAATACAATACAAAATATATAAATTCTACATACATGAAAACTTGAGTACAGTGCAACAATATGTGAAAAAGGAATGGATTAAAAGGGAACTGAAAATCCCAGGATATGAATATAAGAGAGTTTGAGGATTTTTTTTTTTTTTTTTTTTTTTTTGTTAATTATGAAAATTCTGCTGACGCTCATAATTATTAATTTATTAATTAAATGTGTATTAGAAATTAAATGTATGCCAAAGTACATCAAGTGGAAAACAGAATAAATATTTAAACGTTTCTAGTATTAAAATATGGAATTTGTAACAAAGTTAAATAACCTTAAAATAACTTCAATGACTAAAAATGGAAAGCTTAATACGGGAATATATTGCAATAATATTAGTGTGAATTTAAAACGACTTAAGAAGTCCAATTTTTAGATTTAATAAAGAGAATTTTTAAAATTAAATTAGAACTGTTTACCTAAAATGGTAAATTTGAAAGTTAAAACCATTCTGCTATCTAAGAAGATTTGTTAATATTTATCTAGACAAGAAACTTATTTAAGGTGAGCTACAAATCCGATATTTGATACGTTGATTATGTATCAGTTTTGTGTATGTCATTAATCTATCAATTTTACTATTCAAAACTGATATATATATATATATCAGCGACTAAAATCTACAACTTGGAAAGTTTTTAATTCTTACAGAGAATAAAAAAGATCTGGCTCATCATTTCTTTAAGCATCATAAAACTTTAAAATGAGTGTAAAAGAAATTTATTTTTACTTTAGCACACGCCAGACTTTAAATTAATATTTGTTTTGCATGTACAATTTTTACGATATTGATAAACGAAAATAAAGGCTTGCAGTCTCAATAGAACGTCCCATTAATGGCGATAAAGGACTTTTTGTAGCACCCAATCTTCTTGGTAAAGAAATAGGGGACAGGAAACGTCGCGCAGTTTGTGGATTAGATGACAGGGGGGACGGGGATCTTCGATCAAATTTGGCGCAGTTCGTGCCCTACCGTTAGAATAAAACAAAAAATACGCGTGAAAGAAATAATATTAATGACTAATGAATTTTAAAAATTAGGCGTATTTCATCTGAAATAAGTAAACATTAAAAATAATATGTATAATTCATTCAAATAATTTCCTTTCCACAAAAGTTTATTTCAAGATGTACATTTAAATTTAGTGTTTTGTAGTTGTAGCCAGTTTCTCCGCAAATTACTGTTTCTAGCCTTTTCAGCACTAATCATAATTATGAAGAAATTGAAAACTTACTAACGTATCCTTTATATCACTAGTATATATAGTCTATTCTTCAGAGTATTTGCATTTATGGATAATTTAGTTGTCTTATAAAAAGCAAAGTCATCCCAGTAAAATTTTAATTTTCGTTGATTAATATAAGCCAGTGTTTAACACTAGAACAGCCGAATTTCAGACTAACCGAAAACCGCCATTGGGGGTCAATTTGACCCTCATAAGATATGTAAGTAGAAACACAGTAAATGATTGAAATGATGCTGAAATGACCAAATAAAAGAGTTTTTAGAGGTTTTTATTTATTTTTTATGCTTTAGAATTTTTTTCGTGCAATTAGTGAAATTAGCACACAATATCTTTCAATGTAAGATTACAAAAACAAAAACAAAATCTGTGAAAAACAAACAAAAGATACAAATGCAAGAAGTGGAAAATAGAACATATGCAAAAAAATTACAAAAAAACATAAATTTGGGAATAAACACACAATGTTTTCCAAAGTTTGTTATACATTACCGCATGATACAATATGAACGCTTGACAGTGACAGCAACACATTTACCAAAATTGGTTTCTGGCATCCCTCACAGCTGACAACAGTCTTGTTTTGTCCTTGCAACTTTGAAATGCACATTCTTTCGTTTAAGTGTCTGTATTTGAGCAATTGGAGGGCATCGTAGTGCACCAGCTCGTAGTTCTTCCACGAGTGCAAGAATAAATTCTCGACGGGAAATAGAGGTGCCCAAGGATTCTTTGAATAAAATCCAAGCATTGAGTGCAGCAATGTCAAGGACGTTGTAAAAACATATACAGGCCATCTGCGACTTCCACTACTTGTACTATATTTCCTCAGCATCTGATCTGCGACATCAACGCCACATTTTGTACTATTGTAGTAAGGGACAGTGTTCGGTTTTTTCTTTATGCTGTCGTCAACAAACACGTTACTGTGCATCGTGCTCAGAATCATGACATTCCTTTTGCTCTTGCACCCATATATTGTGAGTGTTTTGTCTCCATTTTTCAGTGCAAAAGATGAATATCGTGCCAAAGAAGTGTCATGAGCAATAGGTGGTGATTCTCGCTTATTCAGACTCATCGTCCCGACAACTGTGGTTTTTTTCGCAGAAAGTTCATCTGCAAGTTTCTCAGAAGCAAAGTTGAGTCCGGAGTTTAGATGTGGTTGCAGTAATTTGAGAACTAGTCTTTCCCCAAGTTGTAAATTAGTCGGTCGTTCTTCATCCTTGCGCAGATAAGGATACCCATTTAAAACATATTTGGATTTTACAGCAGTTGCTAGCAAGAATTTCATGCCAAACTTATCCGGTTTATTCGCCATGTACTGCATAAATCTACATCTTGATTTACAAGGCAACAGTTGTTCATCAACGGTTATTTCTGGTCCAGGATTATAGCATAAATAACAGTTTTCCATTAGCTTGTACCAGGTTTCAGACTCTTGTGTACTCAATCCTCTTCCTCTCGGCATTGCAACGGAGAGAGAATATGCTCCGTTCTGATTTTATTTTTCTCCCTTAGTCATCGCGATAACAGCTGCGTGTTTCCCAATGCGCAGATACGAAAAACGTGGAATCGGGAATTTGAAAACGGACATTCGCTTAAAAATATGTCGTTTTTCTTATGAGGGTCAAATGACCCCAGTGGCTGTTTTAGGTATATCTGCGATTATTTATTTAAATAATTAACGTAGAAATATGAAAAATTGGCATAGTATACTTGGAAACATTTTAGAAAAAGTAAAAAAATATCAGCTTCGAAACTCAGCTGTATGTTAAAAAAAAAAAAAAAAAAAAAACGCGGAAAATTGGAAAAAGAGGTCAAAATGACCCCAACGGCGCTTCTAGTGTTAAAGTTCTGGTTGTACACTGAACTTTCATTATACATATTTCAGTGAAAATATTATTTAAACTTTAATAAGTTTATCTCCAAGCAACAATATTTAGCTCTAATAATGGATAAGCAGAGCTTAAAAGCACACTCATAATATCTGCGCTTTTTTTTTTATGTAAACCCGACTGATTCTTGCTAAACCATGTTTTGTTTTAGTAAACAAGGCTATTAATTAACTGTTATTTATATATTTTTCGTGCATTTTGAAATAAAAAATATTAAAATTTGGCACCTAATTTATATCGAATACAAGCAGTGGATTATTTTCGAATTCAAGGCATCCTACCATTAAAAAGTGTTTATTAATGAACACGACTCAGTCAACTGTATGTATAGCTGACAAACATTAATAAATTGAAACAATCTGCAGGAACTTTGTATTCATATCGTTCTAACCAGAAATTTCAGTAAACTCGGATGGCCTAATAAAATAGAAGAAATCGACGAAGCCTTTATTTACGGGGCGGAAAAACAACGTAGAATTCATACAGAATAAAAGTAAAATTTCATACATAATAAAAGCATTATTCAGCTGATATATTCCGCAACTATATAAATCTGAAAGACGAATTACAACATGAGATACTAATCTAGACTTCAGAATGTTACTTCAAGCACCTGCACTGCACCTGAATATTGATTGTTTATTAAATAAATAGATGTTATTTCCTTCAGAATTTCGAAGAAACGACAGACGCTGCTTTGGCGGTATCTACGCCAAATTTTATGGTCGACGGGATAATACGTAATTAATAAATAAATATTATTTCATGTGTTTTATTATTTATATAAAATCGCGCTTTCTTTTCTACCTCTAGTATAGTATCGAGATGTGTGGGATATTGGATGGAAACTTAAGTAATAAAGAAAGAATGAGTTTTTATTAATTCTTCCTATCTCATGGCAGATTTTCTTCTTTGATTCTTCTTTTTATCTTTCCTATTATAATATCCAAATTTCAATAATTTAATAAATCCATTTAATTTTAAATATTCATATTTGGATACATTCGAAGGATTACTGCTAAGGCCTGTACGTATTTTTGATGCTTTGAGTCTCCGTGTATTTCTTCCAGCTAAAAGCTGTATGGTTTCATACAGCTCTCTGTCGTATCTACTATGTTTCACCAATTATCATCACGCTCTGCGTGGGTAAAAGTTCTGTGCGAGTTCTGTGTTAATTTCAGAGGCAGAAAACGTCAACTTCAATGTTATTGATGAAAATCAATAGCAGACAACATTGAATGTAACATTTATTTTAATATCGTCCTTCAAATCTCTGATTGCAGTAAAATATAAAAATATTTAAAATATTTTTACTTCTTCCATTTAAAGGGAAACACAGAAAAACAAGGCACAGTATTCTTAGAAATCTATACGTTGTTACGAGACCTGAGAGAAATTAAGCCTAATTACAATTTTCGTAAAGCAAGATTATAAAACCAATTTAATGGATGTTTTGGAAGTCAACGTAAATGAATAAGTTTGACTAAATGTTAGTCAAAACCTGATCACGCAGTAGACGAAACACTTCAAGAGATTTATTTAACTTCAAAAAGTAAAAGAAAGCAAAATAGCTAACAGATGATCGTTAACTTCTCTACCCACCTTTAGCCATATTTTAAACGATCGAGATGTCGAATTTTGAAACCACGTAAGCGAAGAAGGGCTTAATTGCAAAAAATGTTTATATTTTTAAATATATTTGCGATTCGTTTTGAATATAACTGCTGTTTTTTTTATAGCACAATTATCCCTTTATCATAGTCCCAAAACAAACATTCGGTAGTTTTGCTTATTTTACCTCAAAAAATATTTTACCAAAACTATTCGACTATTACGGTTTTGCCTTGGACTTAGAGCAAATGGTAACTAAAACAACCATATTTGAAAACTATTTGGTGATTATTTTTACTTGACACTGAATGATATCAAGTGGTTTATAGTGAAACAAAGATTAAATTATTTAACCAATCAACATAAATGTGAGAACTTCACCAGAACTTCAGTTAAGATAAACAAACGACAGATTGTTTATTTCCTTTTACACATTTATCTTGCGTTTAAAATTTTTGCAAATTAACCATTGCACCCATTCTTCTCCCTCAGAGTTGTTGCAAGTATCTTCGCAAGTTAAGCAAAACCACATTTCTGTTTCAGAATCTGTATCCGAGTTCAAAATCTTCTTCATCCATTTTATCTCTTCGTTATCTTTTTCGAATTTTTCTTTAACCTTTCCCTTTCTTTTATGTTTTTCTTCATATTTTTCCTCCCAATGCTTTTTTTTCGGATGTGTCGGTTAGGATGGCAGATTTCCTTTTGCGGCGGCTTCTATTAGACTACTTCCGAGATACCTTCTTACGGAGAGATCTAATCTTTTAGAGTGAAAACTGATTTTTATATTTTGTATATATATTTTTGAGAAAACAGTAAGTTGCATGTTAACATTTAAAGAACAGTCTTAATTACATGAATCAAAACCTCGAGCGAAGTTGTAATATAAAACCTGCTCCGAAACTTTTTACAACTGATTCCATCATATGGTTTCAGACATTTTTATTGATTTATAAAAAAAAATTAAAGCGGCATTTTGACACTTAATATATAGACTAAATAGGTAATAAATTGTTAAAATCAAGTTCAGTTAACTTATTTTAAATCGAAATTCACGAAGTATTTTTTTCTCATTAACTAGCTAAGCATGTGCAACACAAAATCTCGCAACCCATTTCGACGGGGTGTTGACTGTGCTTACGTACTAGGGCCTGTCAAAAAAATCATGTTTAGTGAAAATTATGATAAAATTTTCTTAAAAGCTACTGCGTAACGTGCGTGTTACTACTTGCCCCTGTTAGAACTAGCGCCTATCTTCCCTACGTAGTCTTTAAAACGGAGTATAGGAAAATAGCTACGTTAAAACTCGATGAAGAAAAGAAGCTAGTAATTGAAGATGAAACATAACATCCATTTTTTTTTCAAAAGATAATAATATTTGAAAATAATTACATTTAGTTTTTAAATAGTATTATTTAATGTCGTTAAAAACATTTCTTTGTATTTCTGCGTCATTAAATTAATTCTCTTTCCCTTCACGTTAAGTTACCAATTTTTACAATCCATTAAATTAACCATACACATCGACTGAGTTATTATCAGTTCTGTGGTGATTAACTAAAATTTTTTCATTAACTGTAGTTGATAAAAAAAAAAAAAAAAAAAGTTCTTGCCTCAGGATTTAGTCAATTGTCAATTTGCAGATAATTGCCATTCGATGGGTCGCAGTTTCTTAAACCCATGTTTCAAAGTTATAACTGGTTCAGAAATTGAGCCATTTGTCAACAATAAATTCATTTCTGAACAATTAAAATCTTTATTTTTAATAATATATCTGCTGCAATTTAAAATATACGTAATTTGATACATTAAATTCTTAACTGAGAACATTGCAGCATCAATGTAATTAATGAAATATTTTTCCAATGCCTTATATAATAGGGTGCGCCGAAAAAATATTTTTGGTTTTCTAACACTACTCCCCGGAAAAGTTGCCTATCGCCTAACTAAGCAAATTTGAGTTGGGAGGGAGAATTTCAAATATACCTTGGGTTCGCATCGCACTCAGAATTTTGAAAAATGATGAAATTTTGATGTTTTTCGTCAAATTTTTTATAGTATCTTTTTTACTAAGCTCAGTATGATCGAAACGTTATGTGACCTAATATGAATTTTGGGGCATGAAGAACACGAAAAAAGTTTAAAACCTGCTATTTCAAATTATTTATTGTTTGCGCGAAAATGTTAAAAAAAATTGTAAAAATAGTGATATTTTGTAATTTTTGCTACAAACCATTTAAACGATAACTAAAATTATTACATACCGTGTAACTATATTGTGTAATTGTAAATGTTATTGTGTATATTGTAATGTAATATAATTATGTATGGGATAATTGATTCAGACAAGTCTCACGTCGTTGTCAAAAACAGAATAGAAGAGGAAAAATTCGCTGTGACAGAAATTATTTGCTGAATCACACAATCAATAAAACATTACGTGGCCGGCCTGTGATGGAAGAAATGATGACACGATGGTAATTAAAAAAATTGTTTCAGCTAGTTTTCGAACTGAAAAAGACTGAAACTGAAAAAGAGGAATATTATTCCTTCATGTTTAGAACCAGGATAACAATATATCGGACATATTTCTCTGTCTACTTGGACTTGCTAAAGATATAGTTTCTATCATTATTTCCCTTTTGAGTATACGTAAGATTTGCCTTGAAGAACTTGACGTGCTAGACAGCGATGCACTTACGAACACTTAACGAACTGCAGTTCAGTCATCTATTTCGTAGTTGGATGTTGGACGGTCCAAATCCTTCAGTGGGGACGATCTGGAAAAACTGGCTGGCTGTTAAAAACTTCCACTGATTTGCCTTAAATGTGTTGAATATCCATTCCTCAAGATGAAAGAAAAGTGTTGAGCAAGAATCCGTTATACTTACTTAATATTTCTACTGGCATGAAGTCGGATATAATTTTAGAATTAGTAGCCAGAGCTATGTCTAGCTATTTTTCC